AATATAAAAAAGAGAATCGAGAGAGAGAGAGAGAGAAGAGAGAGAGAGAGTGAGTGAGATAGAGAGAGAGAGAGAGAGAGAGAGAGAGAGAGAGAGAGAGAGAGAGAGAAAGAGAGAGAGAGCAATACATAAAGGGAGAGGGAGAAAGATAACAAACAAAGGCGAGGTATACAGAGAGAGAGAGAGAGAGAGAGAGAGAAAGAGAGAGAGGGAGAGAAAGAAAGAGCACATAACAAAAACATAGAAAATCATATCGAGGAAGAGAAGAGACCGCGAAAGACAACTGACAAGGTCGGGTGAGCCAGCCAGGCCTCGTGCGCGAGCCTGTCGGGAACGGGGGGGGACTTGCCCCGTCGCGGGGCCGCTCGGAGATCATCGAACTCAGGGGGGGGGGGATCAATTGCCTCAGCAGGGGCAAGGGGGGGGGGGGGGGGGCATGGGCTTCGCTGGAGGCATCATGGTCTGGGGTGCACTCGAATCGCTCCGTAAAACAGGCCCCCAATGCTCTCTCATGGCTTCAATGATGTTTCGGCTTCCTCGGAGGATCGCCTCGCCGTGGGCTTCCCGGGCGCGCGGGGCGCCCCGGGGGACTAGGCGACGGCCCTGGGGTTTCCGATGGAGGGCCCGCCGAAACAGAGCATTCCTGGAGCGACCGTTCCGGCGGCGCTACTGTGCGGGCGCAGTGCCTCGCGCTGCAGCGCCGGCTCACTGCGCGCCTCGCTGGCCGCGCGTGCCTCGGCCTCGAAGCGCGCCGAGTCGGAGAGGAAGATGCGGTGGCCGTCGGTCCTGAAGTGGGTGTTGCCAGCCGCCGCGTCCTCGATGAGACGTGTCGCGAGGCGTTCGTCTTGCCTCCGGATGGCGCGGGCGATCGCGCGTTGCGCCATGCGTTGGGCCTCCAGGTCGTCCTCGGGGCCGTCGCCGATGGGAGCGTGCAGGGTTCGCGCCCACCCATGGAAATCAGGGAGCAGGCCCGGGGGAGGGTGTCCGGCTGCTTCTGGCGCGTGGTCGCGTTGAAGATGAAGCTGGGATGACCTGCGCCGCCTTCGCGGCCCCCCTGCGCGTCTCCAGCCTCAGTTCGATGATGGCGCGGCCGCTGACGCGCCACTGCGACGAGTCCTGCGCGTCGTAGCGGATGTTCGCCGCCATCTCCATCTCTCTCATGTAGTGTGGCAGAATCGAAATAAACACTCTGTCCTGTCGATGTTGGTCATCTGGTCCGTGTGCCAATCGTCGTGTACCCGGGCAGGTGTGACAATCTCCGTCGTGATCTCTGAGCTATTGACCAGTTGCCGCCAGAGGGGTTCACCATAGTTTGCCCGTCCTTCTGTCGAGGTTCGAGCGCTGCGAGCCCGAGGCCTCGGAAGGCTCTCGTCGGGGTTTTCGCAGAAGTTGAAGTCGCCAATGGCGACGAAGAGCCTCTGGAGTGGGATCGCCGCTGCCCATCGACAATGCTCCCGCCATCAGGCGGACGTTGTAAGTCCTCGCCTCGCACTTCTGTGACGCATTCTTGATCTTGATGAGCTGGATGCGGCCTTTGACGATGATGGAGCGGGCAATGGCGGCGTTCGCCTCGGGGTTCAGGTCGCGATCAGCGAACTCGGGGACCAAAGCCGCCGCCCGGCCCGCGCCCGCGGTGCCCGTGCCGCTGAAGTAGATCGTGTACTTGTACGTGGAGCGGTTGATCAAATTCTGGAATGTCATGCCGCATCCGTGCACCTCTTGCAACGCGACGAGCGCTTCCTGTTTCATCACTTCGCGCAGCTTAGACATCTCCTGGCTGCGCTTGGCGAGGTCCCTGCAGAGGGGGCCGCGCGCGTTCCAGGAGACGACGTTGCAGACCGCGGTGCCCCCTGTGCTCAGCCATGGGGACCAGCGTGTGCTAGGAGGACAACCAGTCGGAGGTGTCCACCGCGCGGAAGAGCGCCCTGAACTTCTCCATGATGTCCGTCGCGTTGTGACTGAGCGGCTCGCTGGCGGCGGCGGGGCTCCAGGAGACCAGAGCATGGTGGTCAAGTCCACGAGGGTGGACTTCTGCAACCGGTGCGGGGCCGCAGTGGGCGATCCCCGCCGTGCGCTGCATCCATCAGTCTCTCGCCCTCTGCATCTGGCAGAGACCCATGCGCTTCTTTGCCTGGGCCTCCCGCCTGATCGCCTTCTGGATCTTGTTGGGGTTGATGTAGAGCTTCTCGCAAGAACCGTAGACCACCTTGATGCTGAAGTCCCTCCGCTGCCCGCTCTGGATCTTGAGGTGCTTGGCGAGCGCCAGCGCGCGAGCCCGCCCGTCAGCAGCTCCAGGGGCGTAGATGTGGAAGCGCGTCGAGGTCTCTTTCTCGTTGATATTGATTTGTTGCTGATCCACTCTGGCAGCAGACGGCCAAGGGCCCAGGGCAACCATGAAGTCCGCGGGGGTGGAAGGCTTGGTGCAGTTGGCCACAGAGAGCTGCGGGTCCGGAGGTCGGTCCCAGTCGGCAATGCGCAGCATGTCGGGGGCGTCGCTGCGGCCGAGGGAGTCGACCTGCGCCAACGTGGACTGCGTCTCGCGGATCAGGTCGCGCATCTCTTGGTTGTCCTTCTGCAGCTGGGTGGTGGTGATGTTGATTGCCTCGATGTCCCTCTGGTGGCGGTCGATTCGATGGATCTGCGGCTGTAGCCGAGCAGACATCTCCTCGCCAATCGTCTTGAACGAGTTGGCGACCGAATCTTCAAGAGACTTGCTTGCCACGTCAATCAGAGTTTTGAAGGTTGCTTGGATGCGTTCCTCGGTTGCGGCCAGCACGGTTCGGGAGAGGGCCTCTTCGCTTCCAGCGGCGGTACTACTGGAACTCGCATCTATCCGTGTAGATGTTTCTTGTAGGGGTCTTGCTGGGGCTGTGAGCGGCTCCGATCGCCTACCACGTTGCAGATCTGGCCGCTTCTTCGACGGACTAGGATCGCCTCCGCCGCGCAGAGGCTCTCCAGCCCCCATTGCAGTAACAGCACGGCTAGCGCCAGGCGCCACAATCTGCACACATAAGGTATGTTAGCAAACTCTGCTCCTCCAGGAGCTCTCTGAATGGTCGGGCTGAAAAGCTGTCGGGTGCAAGCACCCTGGCACTGCCGCGGGCTAGCGGTATCCGATCTTGCCAATGCGGACTCAGCCCGCCAAACATCGGCCTTGAGTCAACATGGCTACGGAACGAGGAGGATGAGGAGGACGATGAGGAAGAGGAGGAGGGGGAGAGGAGGAGGAGGATGAGGATGATGCTGATGCTGATGATGTTGCTGATGATGCGGATGCTGCGTATGATGATGATGAGGAGGGGGAATGACCCCCCTGTTCGGCAAAGAAATGGCCCCTTCATACGTGTTACACTTGGCCAGCCCAAACCGTATGTGCCCGCCTTATTCGGCGACTGTGTTAGGACGTTGAACAGATTATATACTGGTGCTCGCCAGCGCAACGAAGTATTGGAGTAGCAAATTTGGCCCTCGGCAGGGGGCGGGCCAACAGGTCCGCCCAATGTGGACTTGCGAGCAGCACCGACGCATATCAACGACACACATGGCCCGCCATTGCTGTGCCAGCCTCGCCTAGAATCATACACGCGGGAGTTGGGGAGGTTTGGTGGCGTGGAGGAGCACTCAGGGGGGGGGAGGGATGAGCACAACAGCGGCAGCACCTAAGCCAACCAGCGCCGTCTAGGCCAGCCTTCCGGTACTTACCTTAGAAGCTCACACCAGCTACTTACCATCGGTACAGTGCGTCAACCGCATGCTCGCTCTCGTTTCAAACACAGGCCTGCCAACCTATTCAACAATTATTTGCACACCTTGAGTCCACATTGCCACGTCGCGGTCACGCTGCGATTTCGCTTGTTATCCTTGTACTTGGGGGCGGTGGCGGGAGGTTGGTTATTTGGGGTTGGGAGTTGGGAGGGGTACATCTGCACTAACAGCGGCCTCAGCGCCAGCTCAGAGAGGAAACGACGGCAAGACCTGCCTGTGCTACATTACACCACGTTGCCACCCACAGCTGCAGTTAGACTCCCACTCTGTCGGTGTCCTCCTAAGTTCTTGTATGATATAATGGTTGTATGTTCGTATTCGCCTCCCTTCCCTGCACTGCCGCGGGCTCGGTTACTCTGCCCACGGGGGACGCCATTCTTTTCTTATCTCGCGGCGCTTCTATATCCGCAACATTCCGACGCCTCATTTGTTTTGCTCGCTTCGCGAAACCGGCCGGTCTCTTTGCCTACCCGAGTGCTGCATCCCCGCAGCTGAAGAATGTCCAACGTCAAGAAGGAGGACAGGGAGGAAAAAGAGGAGGAGGAGGAGGAAAGCGATGAGGAAGAGGAGGAGGAGGAGGAGGAGGAGGAGGAGGAGGAGGAGGAGAAGGAGAACGTCGTCGTCGTCGTCGTCGACGTCGTCGTCGTCGTTGATGTCGATGTCGATGTCGTCGTCGTCGTCGATGTCGATGTCGTCGTCGTCGTCGTCGTCGTCGTCGTCGTCGTCGTCGTTGATGTCGTCATCGTCGTCGTCGTCGATGTCGTCGTCGTCGGCGATGTCGACGTCGTCGTCGTCGTCGTCGTCGTCGTCGTCGTAGTTGTCATCGTCGTCGTCGTCGTCGTCGATGTCGTCGTCGTCGTCGGCGATGTCGACGTCGTCGTCGTCGTCGTCGTCGTCGTCGTCGTCGTCGTCGTCATCGTCTTCGTCGTCGTAGTTGTCGTTGTCGTCGTCGTGGACGTCGTCGACCCAGACCCCCTCGATTAGTGAGAAGCCGCTGCGGGAGGTTTGTCGCTATGTGCGGCCTCTGGGTGGCCCTGCCTGGCCTCGGGGCCGTGAACAACGCGGCTCGGGAGGAAGAGCCGGTCCCGGGAACGGGTCGAGACCTCTAGAGGTTGACGTCCTGAAGAAATCATGACGGCAGGGGTCTGGGTTTCGAGCCGCGCCCGGCCGCGGCGGCGACGTCGTCGACGTCGTCTTCGTCGTCGGCGTCATCGTCGGGCTCCCGCCCGCGGCGAGCCTGCGCCGCGCGCGCCGCCAAGCCGCGGGGCCCCAGCGGCGCGCGCCGCCGCGACCACGCCGGAGAGCGAGGACGAGCTGGTGCCCGAGAACGCGGCGGCCTCTGGCGGCAGCAGCAGAGGCTTCCCAGACAGGGTCCGAGAAGATGGGGTCGGAGGATCGCGCCGCATCGACGATACATCGCCGATGCGTCGGCGATGTATCGGCGACGTCGGCGATGCATCCGCGACGTCGGCGCGGGGAAAACCGGACTCCACATCGAGCCGCATCGCCGATGCATCGACGATGCGGCGCGATCCTCCGACCCCATCTGCTCCGATCCCATCTGCGAGGCCAAGTAGCAGTGGCCGCGGCGGCGGACCGGCAGAAGTGGACGGATATCGATCGTGGTCGATGGAGCGTCACGACAGGCATCGTGGCTCAAGCGTCTCGGGCGCGGCCTAGCCGACACCTGGCGAACCATCCCCTTCCGTGGCGTCCTCCTCGCCTTTTAAACTTCCCCCGGGTCATTTACCTACGTCTCGGGTCGAGGCGAGGGGGACGTCACGGAAGGGATGGCTTGCTGGGGGTCGTTTAGGGCGCCCCTGAGCGTCAAGTCCAGAGTCGAAGCGACGCACCCATGCTGACACCACGGGCTGATGATGATGCTGCTGATTATGATGATGCTGATGATCATCATCATCAGCATCATCAACATCATCGTCATCATCATCATCATCATCATCATCATCATCACCATCGCCATCGCCATCGCCATCGCAATCGCCATCGCCATCACCATCGCCATCACCATCACCATCACCATCACCATAAGCATCATCTGCATCAACATCATCATCAGCATCAACATCACCATCACCATCATCGTCATCGTCATCATCATCAACAGCATCAACATCATCATCAACATCGTCATAATCATCATCGTCGTCATCATCATCATCATCATCATCATCATCATCATCATCATCATCATCATCATCATCATCATCATCATCATCATCTGGCCGAGGGGCAGTCTGCAGGCCAGACCGCGCCGGCCTCCGTCTGGCCAGGGGAGGGTGGCGGTGGAGCCGCGGGTGCGGGGCTCGTCCCCGCCACGGCGGCGGCGGAGGCTCGGATGGGGCTGGCCTTCGAGGCAGCGGCGGGCCCTGCTGGCGTTCCGCGCCCTCCTCTCGGGCCTCGAGACTTCTGGCCAACGACCACGCAATAGCACAAGGAGGAGGAGGAGGAGGAGGAGGAGGAGGAGGAGGAGGAGGAGGAGGAGGGTGGAGGAGGAGGAGGAGGAGGAGGAGGAGGAAGGAGGGGGAGGCCAGCTGGGACCACCTGGGTGGGGCACCTCGTCGCCACGCCGGGATCCGCCTCGAAACACGGGCCAGGGGGGGCAGCCCAGACCCCCGAGATCCTGGCGTCGCGACCTCTCCGCGCCGGCCCCTTCTGCCCTGTTTCGGGGTGCGGGGCCCTCACTGCTCGGTCCCGCTCGAGCAGGGCAGCAGAAGGGTCGGGTCGAGGCTCCCGGTCGTGATATTTCACCGTGCTCGATTTCATCCAACCCGCCTGTGTGTTGGGTCCTCGTTTTGAACCCGCAGTGCCGCGCTCCTCCTCCTCCTCCTCCTCCTCCTCTTCCTCCTTTTCCTCATCATCAGCATCAGCATCAGCATCAGCATCAGCATCAGCATCAGCATCAGCATCAGCATCAGCATCAGCATCAGCATCAGCATCATCATCATCATCATCATCATCATCATCATCATCATCATCATCATCATCATCATCATCATCATCCATCCTTCCTCCTTATCAAGTGACTGCTCCCTATCGCACCCCCAGGCGTGTCGGTAGGGCGGGCCGGGCGTTTCGCTTGAGACTGTCTCGCAACCTACGATCCTTCAGCTTGAAATTTGCAACCGTTTCACGGACGGAGGGCGGATGGTTATCAAAACGAACCTCTCGCCTTAGCGCCGCGCGCATTCGTCCTAAAAGCTTGCAGCAGTTCTGCGGACGAAGGGCGGCTGGCTCTCAAAGGGTGGCTCTCGCATCAGCGTCGCGCACACTCATTTTCATCCGAATCTGCAGCCTTTTCGCGGATGGAGGGCGGGTGGGCTCCAAAACGAAGCTCTCGACTTAGCGCCGCGCAAGTTTTTCGAATGTTTGTAACGGTTTCACGGATGGAGGGCGGCTCCTTTTCGAAATGTGACTCTCGCATGAGCGCCGCACGCATGTTGTAAGTTTGCAACCTTTTCATGGATGGAGTGCGGGTGATTTTCAAAGTGAGGCTCTCGAGATGTCGCCGCGCACAATTGCTTCGAAAATTTGCAATGGTTTCACTGATAGAGGGCGGTTCTTTTTCAAGACGTGGCTCTCGCTTTGCCGAACACATTCGTCCTACAAGCTTGCAGCAGTTTCGAGGGCTCCTGTGATCGAAGGCGCAGGAATGACGTTCTGGCAAGGTTTAGGATTGTCAGTAGGCAACCGCAGCGCTGATCCGCGGTGTTTGCCCCCTAGAACGCCTTTCTGGCGCGATTCTACTTAAGATTGCTAGGGGGCGCAACAGGCACGCTGAGCCGCAGCGTTGCAGTCCCGGGACATGCCATGCGCTCTGGCAAGATGGAAGGCTCTCCGACGGTTGGCATCTCATGGCCCACCTCCAGGAATGACAGCACACTCTTTTGGGGGCCCACGAGGAGGGAACTTGAGTGAGGGAGCTCCACCTTGGGACCTGGGGCCCAGTGGGTGCGTTCGCACGGCGCTGCCACGCCCAGTTCGGCACGCCTCTCACGCGTCTCCTGCCTCCCGAGGGCGCTCCACCCAGGGCACCAGTGAGTGCGTCCGCATGACGCCGCTGCGCTCCTTTGGCGCACCCCTCCATGTGTTCTCGTGCGTTGACCGGTCCTGTTTATAGTCGCCGCGCGTCGAAAGTGTTGGGTCCTCGCCAGGCTGATCTCGCGACGTCGGATCTCAGGGGAGGAGGAGGAGGAGGAGGAGGAGGAGGAGGAGGAGGAGGAGGAGGAGGAGGAGGAGGAGGAGGAGCAGCAGGAGGAGGAGGAGGAGGAGGAGGAGGAGGAGGAGGAGGAGGAGGAGGAGAGGGAGGAGGAGGAGGAGAGGGAGGAGGGAGGAGGAGAAGGAGGAGGAGGAGGAGGAGGAGAAGAGGGAGGAGGAGAAGGAGGAGGAGGAGGAGGAGGTGGAGGAGGAGGGGACCGATCCTGGACGGGTGTCTGGGCCAGGCGGGAGAGCCGCCGCTGCCTCACCTGGCCCTCGCCCGAGCAGACCCGCGACGGCGACCGGCTGCGACCGACCGACGGCGACCCGCGGCAGTGAAGCCCGCGAGCGCCGAGGATCGACGACCGGCGACGGAAGGACTAACCAAGTCGACCACCGCCGGCCGTCGACCGGCGACCGACGGACGGACGACGATCACCGCCACCGACCACCGACCATGGACGCCCGACGACCAGGCGACCGACGCCTGACAGATCGGCCGAACGTGCGACGAACTGACCGAGGGCCGACCGACCGACCGAACGAGCGATGACGCCGGGATGTGGAGGGGGTGGAGAGGGTGGATGGGGAGGGGCGGGGGAGCTGAAGGGGAGGCAGGACGAGGGGGAGGCGGATAGGGGGAGGATAAGAGGAAGAGGGGGAGGGGGGGAGGAAGATGGAGCGAGGAGATTCAAACGGGAGGAGGAGGGGAGGAGGAGGAGGAGGAGGAGGAGGAGGAGGAGGAGGAGGAGGAGGAGGAGGAGGAGGAGGGGGAGGAGGGGCTGAGCGGACCCGTGGCCGAGGCCCAGAGCTCTGACCCCCAAAGCTTCTGTGAGGCACTTCGCTCCCGAGCGCTTCTCTTGTTCGGGGGGGGTGGGGGGTGGCGAGGCTCCCGCCCACCTGCGGGGCCCGTGTGCGCTCTGTTTGGGAGCCCTGCGGATGGAACTGTCGGGTCGGCCGAAAGGGAGGGATAGCAAAGGGGGGGTTTGAGAATCAGCTCACGAAGCTGATTCTCCCGGCGCCTCCCGGCGCCGGAGGCGGCTATGTATCGAGGAATGGGCCCCTTTCCCAATCCCCCCCTTTCGTCCGGCCCGAAACTGGAGCGTGGAGGGAGAGAGCAGGCGCAGGGCATACGGCCGGACATGGGGCAGAAGAGCACCGCTCCAGACCACGAGGCCCTCCGCCGGCCCACACACACAGAGCATGCGAGGGCACCCTCCCCAGAGTGCCCACGAGCGTCCAGCAATCACGAAGAACGCCAGGGTACCCTCCCCGCACCGACCTCGATCTCATACCTCGGTCGGACCGTGGAAGAACAAAAAACGGCATGATTAGAAACTTTCGACGGTCCGCGCGGATTCCTCGGATCTTCTGGGCTGGCCCCCCTCCCTGGCGCGCGGAGCGCGCCAATGGCGGCGCCGGAGGCGCCGCCGGGGGGGGCCGGCGCAGATCCAAGAAATCCGCGCGGAGCGTCGAAAGTTTGTGTTCATGCTGTTTTTTTTTCCTTTGGGGAAAGGGAGGCGCACGCGGCGGAGGGACGAGGAGGATGACGTGGAGGAGGGGAGAGGAAGAACGGGTGGATAGTAAAGTGGCCCAGGGACGCACACAAATAGACACACATCCCAGGATTCGCAAGATTTTCCATATCTTCTGGATGTTCGTCTGCCCCTCACACTTCTCAGATTTTCCCTTATTTGCTCGGTTTGACGATTCTTTGTGTCTGTGTATGTCTTTTCCCCTCCCTAAGATGTGGAGGAGACGGAGGAAGAACGGCTGGATGAGCAGGTGTGGGGGGAGACGGGGAGACGAGAAAGAGGGCAGAGGGAGCAGAAAAACAGGAGCAGGACGATACATAGACGAGCGACACGAGGTGGAGGAGCGGCACGAAGTCGGGAAGGAGGAGGGAGAGAGATTTTGATAGAGGACGAAACAAATACATACATAAACATGAACTTGTCGAGCTCCGTGTGGATTTCTTGGATTTGCGCTGGGTCCCCCCCGGCGGCGCCTTCGGCGCCGCCCCTGGCGCGCTCCGCGTTCCAGGGATGGGGGGTCAGCACCGATTCAAGAAATCCGCGAGGGGCTCCAACAGTTTATGTTTATACTTTGTTGTTTGTCAAGATATGGGAGGGGGGAGAAGGATTTTGATAATGACAAGGAACCAGAGCATCATGCCCAACATGATGAGGAAGAACACGTAACACAAGGACGATGAGGAACATGGATGAGGAGAAGGAGGAGAAGGATGATGATGATGAGGAGGAAGATGATGATGATGATGATGTTGATGATGATGATGAGGAGGAGGTATGAAGAGGATGCTGGGGAAGTCGAGTGCGAGGCATCCAAACGGCAGTGTGGCGTGACGACCGTACGAGAAAGATTCGCAACGCCGTGCATGTGCGCTGGCGCTACACATGTACATTCCTCTTCGTCCTGCGTTCATCGCGAACGCTGCTAAACTGTAAGACGGGCACTCAAAAGACCTGCACTTTGGACGGGCTGATGCTCGGTCGGGAACCCACTGCCGTCGGCTCGTCGGCGAACCGTCTCGACAGCGCCGCGTCAACGTGTAATCGACGGAGGACCACGGGGCACCCCACCTAGGCCACCTAGGCACCCCACCTAAATACACAGGCACCCGAGCTTTCGCCGGCTTCTGCCGCCTGACCTCCGCGAGCTTCCGTCGAGGAAGAGAAGGCACCTTTGCGATCCCTTGAAGGCAAAACACTCTGGCGACGCCCACCGTGGGCTTACCTGCCGTGACGCAGATGTGGTGCTCGAGCTGGCTGAGTGAAGGCTCAGCCCCCTGGCGGCGACTCGGTGCGATCTGGAGCCCGATTTCTCCATCCGCAGATGCATCGCCGATGCATCGGCGATGCGGCGCGACCCTCCGGCCGTCTACTCTGGCCTACGCGGGTTCCCCCGGGGCCGTCGGCGACCCGAGGAGGAGGAGGAAGAGGCGGAGGAGGAGGAGGTGGGGAGGAGGAGATGGAGGAGGAGGGGAGGAGGAGGAGGAGGAGGAGGAGGCGGAGGAGGAGGCGGAGGAGGAGGAGGAGGGAGGAGGAGAAACCCTCCACTCTGGACCCGACTGAGAGGCCTGGAAGTGCACAGCTCGGCGTGACTGGGCGTAGTCGACAAGGGAAGAGCTGCACACGTACACACAGGGTGGTGGTTTCCGCGCCGATCCAGGAAAGCCCCCGTGGACCTCCGACGATTCATGCGGATGCCGATTTTCCTCTAGCGGGCGAAGAACGGTACAATGATAAACTTTTCCGTCGCAAGGGGCGCCTGTCCCCGGGCGGCTGGAAATTCGAATGCCCTATTTAACGTGCCACCGTAGGGGTAGCAATTTCCGGCCGCCCTTGGGACAGGCGTCCCCGACGGCGAAGCAATTATTTTATCAGAGTGAGGGGGCCGGACGGTTATTCACTGTGCCTGGGTGCGTGGCTGACATGGGCTTCCGCGGTGCGGATTGTTGTAGTTGTTGTCGTCGTAGTCGTAGCCGTCGTTATCGTTGTCGTAGCTGTTGTTGTAGGTGTTGATATGGTTGTTG